CCTTCAATACATGGGGATCAGGCCATAGTCCATTATGGCCAAGAGCGGGTTGGCAGACTTCACATGTCTTTCGAAAACTTGCTAGGTTCTCTCAAACATGCAGGTTTCCTCACCATGTTTTCCTTCACCATAAGGTAAGTGGTAATAATGTTAGAAATGATTCGCACATGAAAATATCAGAGTGCGAGTTTCACAAGCGACCGCGTTACCACTGGGCTACCACTGCCTCAATTGAAAGGATTTAAACTTATATAATTCTATTTACAGAAATAAAAACAAATAATATGAAACCAAATTGTTATGCATCGCTGTTACTGTTATTTTATAAATTATTTTTCGAATACTCAGAAATAGGAATAATATTGTGATTCACATTGATCGACATTCAATTCGAACTGTTTTCACTGATACGTTTCATTTTAACGAATGGAAACGTCGTAAATGTTATACATTTTTCAAAGACCGTTCTTATTAAGAAAACGTCTCGTTAGTAAGTTCATAGAAGGTAATTTTATACAGATCGATCTCTAAAGGGATCAATGCTAATGATGTTGAGATGAAATTAGGAACTTTAACTGCATTACAAAGCTATAATCTACAATTAGTGTACTATTAACCAGAACCCATAATTACAATAGAAGTTAATGTAAAATACTAGTATTAATGTATATATTATAGGCTTTATACATTTATTTGTAAATTATTTTTTTATTTAAATAAAGATATCCGTTTAGTAATAAAGTTGAACTAAATAATATCGCAGATCACATAATCAAAAATACCGAGGCATGTGCCAGTCTATCGAGGTTCCGTCACCACCAAATATTAAATATACTTATTTACGTGGTACGTGATTTGTTAGATTAACACAAAAATAAAATATCTAGTAATCACAATACACATTTTATATACCGCAAATATTATAAGTATTTTATATAATATTTTAATAATATGTTTTTTTGATACCTACTATGGAAAGCAAAGTTACATTTTGGTCGTGTAATTAAAAATAGCTCATATCTCAATATTTATTATAGGCATTACTTTAAAGTAGTCTTAGTTGAAAGTATTTTAACGCAAAATTAAACATTACGAATATGGGAAAGTGAACGATATGTTTCTTGGAGGTTTAAACGCACTAACCCTGACGGGGCCGCGGGATAACGGTAATATACTATAATAGTTAAAAACAATAGGTTGTATATAAACGTATTAATATAGAAAGGTGATTTCCTTTAACAATGGAATTTAGTCACAGAATGTTTTTAATATTATGTATGTAGGATTTGCAAACGATACTTTTTGTTAAACGAGCAACGATGCCGATTGGTAATATGCTCGCTTGGAATATCAATTGAATAGAACTCAAATAAGGGTGCCTTTGAAAATTTCATTTATACAATATACACTACGAAGAAATATTTTCCTTTAGTAAAATAACTCTTATAGAAAGTGTAGATGGATAGAGATATTTTTGTTTGCTTTATGTCCTTATATTACTATCGTTGCCATTCTTTCTTTTTAATTCATTGCAAATACATTATGCCTCATATAAAATTTGCTAGATAAATATGTGATTTTAGAAAAAAATAATAATCTCTCTAGTTTATAAATTATACACATATAACTTCTGTCCTAGTTTTTGTTAAAAATGGCCTCGATCTATTAAGCCGAAAAATAGTAATTTTATTTTAAATTACAGCTCCACGTTTTTTGTTAATAATAAATCTGTACTAAAGGCAAAATACAACCTAAAACCAATAATCCTAAGGTACAACGTTCATAAAAATATACCTACGTCAAAGATTTTATTTTACCATCGCGTTATCGAATAACTAATACTAAATTCGACGATACTCTGTTAGATTTTAGTGAACATCGCTTACGACATATATATTGTTATATTATTATTATACATGTGTATAAATAAAAATGAAGATCCGAAATGTATGTACACGCATAACATTCGATCGACTGCACCAAATTGGATAATTCTTTATTTTGTGTTTATTATTATCGGGACAAGTTTTGTATAGAAGAAAATTAAAAGATTTTTTTCTACTAAAACAAGAATATTTTTAAATCTCATGATATGAAAAGTGAGTGAGTGAAAGTTTTTATCCCGGAAATCATCCCTTAAGGGGGTGAGAATGGGGATGACAGTTTGTATGGACAATAAAGCCAGGGTGAGTCGCTAATTTATATTATAAACATTTTAACATTATTTTATCGAATCATAAATTAGTTATTTAGTCCGTTCGAAATAAATAAATACAAATAAAACTATACTCGTTGTGGTCAGCACTCAGCAGGTCAGACTATAAGTATCGTTTCATCCTCGCTTCACACGGGTTCGTGTCTAGGACCTAGGTACGTTTTGACGGTTAGTATGAATATAGTATGCCTGTATTATACATATAAACCTTCCTCTTGAATCACTCTCTCTCTATTGCTGCATTAAAATCTCTTGCGTAGTTTAAAAGATCTAAGCGTACAAACAGCGGGAGCGAGTTTGTTTTATACTATGTATAGATAAGATTGCCAGATCATTATATTATTAAATTTTGTTGTATTTGTGGACTGATTACTTAAAGAAATTGGAACGACTGATTTAAAGAAATTTAACGAAACGCGATTTGTCTTTTCGTCACTAGATGGCGTGGATCTATTCCATATACTGTGTACATATGCGGTAACTATGCTCATGATAAGAAAATCGCGCCATCTATTGACAAGTAGCGACGGTAGTTTCATTTGACATTAGGGGCCAACTCAACCAATTTCCTTAAAAGTTTTAATTAGCTAATCATTGTTTTTGTTATAATTAAAAAAATTGTCCTTATTATAATTAAATTTAGTGATGCGACAATTATATATATTATTTTCAGTAGGATAAATCAAATATTAGACTATTATAATATAGCAAGTTTCATTATCTATAATATTGGATGATGGTAACACTAAGAAGAGGCAAATTTAAACTCTTAAATGACAGATCATATGTTGGTTTACTATCCAATAAGAATTGAATTGAAAATTTTTAACATATACTACTGCAAATATAGCCAATGTAACGATACTGACTTAGTATTGTAACTCTTTTTAGTCGCGGCCAAGGCTATAGTCATACGAACCACGAACCAAGTAGCTATTTGTAGTACACTGGTAATGTCTTTGGAACTTCATTATAATTTTCAGTAGGTATTTAATTAAAAATGTTGCATTCACTAAGACAAAGTCTATGTATATAATGCACTATATATATTTATAACAAAAGTTACGCATGCCTTGTATCTAACAGTTCAAAATTAAATAGTTTCTAAATTCTAGGTTCTAAGTGCGCCTGCAGGTTACACAGTTATCAGCATGGCTTAAAATATGGCATTCCTGATTTCAATAAAAGTAGAAAGATTAAAAATAATTTATTATTAATAATTCATCATTTCACAAAAGATTCTTTTAAACATATACTAATATGAAAAATATTATATGTCTGAGCATTTCTCGTCCTTCGCCTTGTGTAATTCGCAATTATAACATGATTTAAAACCTTTAAATATTCGCATTGCAGAATTAATATACTATATACAAAAACGATCAGGTATACTTTGTATATGGTCATTAGAAAAATTAAAAAAAAATAAATGCGTGAAACATTACTAGTTATAGCCTAAGTTACTCTGAGAAATTTAAATGGTGATAGGCGGGACATGTAGCGAAATTGAGCGACGATCGCTGGACGATTCGGCTGACGTCATGGCCAGGTCCCACAGGAAACAGAAAGAGAGGCAGGTCTAGTTCCAGATGGACAGATGACATCACAGAAATCGCTGAAAAACAATGGATGAAAAAAGCCACAGGTAGATATTATTAGGCATCTCTGGAGGAGGCCTTTACCGTCAAATATGAGAGGTTCACTTAAAAATAAAAAATAGAAATAATTTTCTATAAATTAATAATAAAAATCTAACGAAAACAATATTATTAAAATCTAAAGAAAATCTATGAATTAACAGTTAAATTAATTAAAATAATAGATTGTTTAAATTAATAAATCAATTAAATCAATAAATTACTTAAATCAATAAATTAATTTAAATATAAATTATGAATATGTAACAAATAATTAAACAATAATTTATCACAACTAATTTAATCATTATTAATCTTTAAATTACTAAATATTAATTTCAATTAAATTATACTTCATTTATTTCTAACCACTGCATGTAACAATTATTCTATAAGTCATGTTTAAAAACAAAAAAAAAATACTCCAACCAATTGTATCCTGTAGTCAATTTAAGTGAAATAAAAGGCTTTTTATTTTTATTATACTTAGTGTAAAAAACGATCTATAAAATAAACTTTAACTAAATTATAAGGGTAAAAAATCAAACTGCGCTTAGTAAATTCAGTAGGTATAATAAATAATACATTTATTGAAAATCACTTGTAAAATGTTATATAATCATATTTTTTAAATAAAAAGATTATAATCACATTTTAAACATAATTTGTGAAAAACGGCCAACTTATTAAAATTATAAGTTACATATTTTAAAAAGACTAAAAAGATATAAGGAAAAAAAAACTGAAAAATGTACGTCATTATAATAACAATAGCATGTACCATTAATAGCACCATATTCATGAACATGTTTACTAAATATTTATTCATAAGATATATTGTGACCTCGAATTATCTACACATATTATGTATGATTGTTAGACTTTTTTAAACTTCAAATACAACCGTTATTGAATATAAATCATACATTCCCTTTTTGGTAATATATAACATTAGTCTTATAAAATCTATTTATCAGTCAATGAAATTAATTATTACCTAAGTAAATAATTTAAATGTAACCACTTTAATTAAAAAACTGCACTTGAAAGAACCCACTTTTCATTCCCTTTGGATTTCTCGCATTCATGGTTTACTAACTTTTTCTTCAATGATATGTTCCACAACTTTGGTCCACTGGTTGAGACTAGGCTTCTGATATATACACCTAAAACAAACTTACCATTTAGGTACAAAACGTGAACTAAAATAAATCAATAGGAACTCTAAGCATGATTAATTAATTATGTAATATGCACCTTTTTCATTAATTTTATATTATTGTTATCTATATAACTTTGTAATGCCAAGTATATGAACCTGTACTGCATTTTGTTTTGTACCATCCCTCTCCGCTGAGACCGCACTAGCTTTACAGTGTTGTGCACGTCTATTTCGCAGTTGAAACCTAAAATGAAAAGCATTAACACATAAAATACATAAATAATAAAATAAAAAAATATGTGTACTATGACACCAAAGTACCCCAATATTGTGTCATTTATTTTCGCATTACAGAATGAAATGAAACTTTATTTAAATAGACTTTTTGTAAGAACTTTTGAATCGTCAACTTAATTTAAAGAGGGTCAATGTAGCTAGTCCGCGAGGAAGATCCTACCGGCTCGGAAAGCATTTCTGCTGAGAAGAGTCGGCGAGAAACTCAACAGTTGCTCTTTTAAATTTCGAAGTTGCATTTAACTTATTTTATTAATTAACATTATATTATAGATAGTCCGTATATGAGTCAATATTATATCTTAATTCCACACATTTCCGTCAAATAGAAACTCTTGAACACAGAAGTACGCTTTGCTCAATAAAACATTTCTATTTTTACCTTTAAATTGTTGAAAAGGTAATTCTAGAACAGTTTGTGGAATCTTATTAAATATGTGTATACTCAAGCCCATGAAGGATTTATTTACCTAAGATATTTTTACCTATTCTAGTCGAAATATGGTCGTAACAAAGTTTATAGGTATCTATTCCTAGTGCTCATTGTGTGTCTATCAATGTTTTTTTAAATAAATATATAATTTTTTTGCGAACAAGTTATATATATTACACAGTGTGAGTGTGTATATACATTGTGATGTAACCGTAAGAATACCAATTTTTTTAACACATCTCGCATAGAATCACTTACTCACAGTTCTTTTTTTAGAGAATAAATATAAAATTAATTTCAAAAAAGTATTCCGTAAGATAAAATACAATGTTAACATCCGTTAGGTTTCTAAATTTTCTAACTGCAAAGGTGGTGGAGCTGAGTTTACCTGCAAGTGTTGAGAGGTGTAACGTTGAGAGGTAAATACTTGCAGGTAAACAAAACATAAAAAGGCTAGTGTGAAGTGTCATGCCTAAAAATACCGTTTACTGATTTAGCATATGCAGTGTGTATTCTGTTAGGCAGTGTAAATTCGACACATTTTACGTTTATACTAGATAATTTAATTCAAACTAGCGATGGTATTGTTTATATTATATATTATACACTGTTTACTTAATCTTAATCGTAATTTGGTTAACTACGCTCGACTTAAAACATTAAGAAAGTATCAGCAAATAGTACAATATCACATAATTTCTTTATGTATGAAGGTAAATCATTAATTATATATTAATAAAAGAAAAATAATAAAAAGAAGTCTAGAATAGCTCCTTCAGGTACCAATTAAAGAAGAATGCTTAATGGTTATTAAAAGGTGAACTGGCTTTTAGAATTCATCGCATTGCTTATATTATATTTCCTACCTATGTAGGTACATACTCGTATATATTAAAAATAATAACAATTCCCAAGAATTCTAGTAAAACTATGACATCCATAAATATTTAGAATTTAATTGTTAAATTCGCTTGCTGATTCTAAAGGCATGCCGAAAGTAATGTTCCAAATAAAACCAATTCGCTAAATGAATGCCTATACTATCGCAGCTTTTACTATTAATAGAAACCAAACATAAAAATAAAATCGTCGCAAAACAGAAAAGCATAATAAAATAAAATTAAATAAAAATTACGCTGTTTAAACCGTCTTTATTTAATAATATGTAATTTGTAGAACATACAATACTTTAATTTCGCTTGAACATTGAACTTTTATATTAGAACACAAAGCAGTTAGGATTATAACCGTGTATCAGATCCACTATTATATTTAGAATTAATTAAAAACCAATACAATATATCTTACCAGACATTTTGATTTTGTCAAGCAGTATATCCAGAACTACGAAAGTGCCGGTCCTGCCAACCCCCGCAGAACAGTGTACACATAGAATGTTCTGAAATAATATAGTACATTATCATTATCATGTATTTATATGTATAGTGATGGTATATGGTCAGATCAACTGAATAAATAGAGCAATAGAGCATCAGAGATCAGCATAATTAGGAGAGCCAGAAAATAGAAATACTCGTAAGGGTTAAAAACCCAACTGATTATACCTCTAATTTGGTTTCAATTAATAAATAAGGAGTTATTTAAACTCTATCTTTTAAGTCGAAATTAAATGCAAATTGCTTCTTATTTAATTAAGATAAATTGATTTTCAATATTTTTTGATTGCAAATCAAATGTTTTTTTTTAAACTATAATCCTAAATAAATTAATTTGATCAATTTAATATACCTTGATTTCATTCATGATAAAGTCCAATTAATAATATAAATATGAAAAAAAATCCTAATTTTAAATCAAGTAAAAAAATTTACTAATAAAAAGGTATATATACGCATATATTATTAGGCATCAGAGTTTTGTAACTCTAATTTGTAGAATAACTATTAAAAAACTGTATCAAAATGACAATAAAGCGTTAACCTAATGACACGTTCTTAGTATTTCGTTTCCATGTTATTGTTTGTTTTATTAATCTACGAGTATACTATAATAAAGCAGTAACTTAGTGAAATCTGTACATAAAATATTTTTAAAAACATTGACTGTAACTTATTATGTATTCAATATAGACCCCAAAACAATAGTTATTAAAAATGTTGTATGTTTGTCTGTTTATCTGATTGTTTGTACGCGTTTCACGCAAAAAGTACTGAACCTATTTTAACTAAATTTTGTGTAGTGATAACTCATTACTCAGGTCAACATTATATTATAGTCGAAACGGATTGAGGGATTGGCGTGATTTTTCGTAAGGACATAGAAGAAGGGCTGGAGAGTGATATAGGCTACTTTTTACTACAGGAAAAATTTTCATTCCCACGGGAAAACTCAATGACTGGTTCCATCCAGTCGTCCTTAGAAATTTATGGCTAACGCGGGCTAAACCTTAAAATACAACCCAAAAAAATATGTATAATTAGAATTACTTGAAACTTGGTATTAATGCATAAATACGTGTTTTAGTATTTTTCAAAATTCATCCCATAAGGGTGTGAAATAGGGGACGCGGGTTCTGCTAGTGTAATATAAAGGCCTTTAAAATTGAGTTAATATGAGACTGTATTAAAAAACTAAACTGCTACTGCAATAGGTTATAGATTTCTAATAATTTCCTTACCAGTTGTGGCGGGTCCTTTTCTTGTGTGACCTGATACATTCTGCTGTTAATATCTTCTATGAGAGTTAGTACCCCGTCTGGATCTGGAGGAGTGCCGTGGTCTGGCCAACTCTGTAACACATTAAAAAGATATTTTTACGATACCATACTTACATATACGACACCATATTTGCGCCATCTATATCATATATAACCCATATATGATCATCAAATTTATATTCGACTAGCATTGCCCGTAGCTCCGCCCGCGTTTAGAGACCAAAAACCAAATTCTTAGGTTTTACATATTAGTATACTCTTACAATGCAGTTTTTGTATTTTTTCTCAGAAATGAGATATTTTACCGTAGTAAAAGTATTATTATTATATGTCGACCCGCATAACCAACTATCACCATATAAAATGTCATCAAAATCCCTCCAGTGGTTTTTCTGTGATGCGGTAACAAACAAACAGACAGACAGACTGACAAAAATTCTAAAAACTATAGATTCGGCCTCTGTATCGATAATAGTGTTTATTTCAATAATATTTTCCAAAAAATATTTAATGTACAGATTCGGCTTAGTTACAATTTTATTAGATAGTTAGATATTCATTTAAGTGTCATGAAAACGTAACATATAATGTATTTTAAACTAAATCATACCGTATATTGATATTGATATATAGTTCTGGAGGTGGTCTTCTCTGTTACATACAACTCCCGTATAAGATAGTCCTCGTAACAAGTCTCAGATACTGATCTTACTGTTAAGTCACCATACCGTTCTTGTGCTCCAGAGAGAGGCCAATATCTTTCACATTTTTTCTAAAAGGTAATAAAATATAAAACTTGTTAATACGTACATTTTAAAGCTGTCTATTTTATTTGTTTTTATCATATTAGTTATTAAAATAGCTATACTTTTACGTTTTAGAATATTCAAATTATATGAGCTTTTCTTCAAATTTACAATGAATTAAAATGATAATCATTTTAAACAATTCAAATTCCTATATTGAAACTAAATTATACATTTAATTTAATTAGAACAAAAGTAAATCTAATGTTAATGTACCTTTCCATTTTCTACTTCATTAGTTATCATAGCTATGACTCTAACGTCCTCTTGCCATAGCATACGCCAGAAATCGTTTATTGTGTTTAGTAGACAGCCTTGTGTTGCTATATATGATTTATTTTTCACTGAAACAAATATATATAATCACATAAAATGTTTTGGGCAGAACTCATATATTCAGCCCTTTTTAATGTATCACTGCCGAGCACGGGCCTTCCTTCAACACAAGGAGGATCAAGCCATAATCCACCATGCTGACCAAGTGCAGATTGACGGACTTCACATATTTTTCGAAAACTTGCTAAGTTCTCTCAAACATACAGGTTTCCTCACGATGTTTTCACTTGTGACACGATGACACACGATGTTTACTTCACCGTAGGACATGTGGTAATCATGTTGAAAATCATTAGCATATGAGAATATCAGATGTTAGATATCCGGAATTTAAACCCACTTCACTTAATTTCCCAAGCAAGTGCATATTACCACTACGCTACTACAGAATAATATATAGCAACTTATATTTATACTTACATATATTTTCATTCCCATTAATTTTATCGATATTGATATATTTCTTTGCTTCCCTGAGAGCGTCATCTGACAAAGATTTTGTGACTAGTGGTACTTGTTTGGTCTCGCTTCTTAGGATTAGGGCTGAAAATATTGAAATTTTCACGTTAAATAATTTACAGTATCGATTTCCTATTTCACTAGATATCATTTCATTTGATTTTTTTTATTTTAGTTAGTTCGTAGGCAACAAGCTACAATATATTTTCATATCATATACATATAATGTAAGCATTATTTCCATAATTTTACCATCTGATAAGAAAAGCTAACCCCGAGTAACGGGACAAGGTGAAGACAAGGAAGAAGAAGAAAATTATTTCTATAATTTTGGGCAAATAATGTTTAAATTCCTATTAAAGGAAACATCAAACGCAGTCAAATAATATATCAATCACTCTAACATAGTACTCGTATAATAGACAATGCTGTCATAAAGTGGGGATTTTAATATTCATACAATCTGATACAAACAAATGACTACGTGAGGGAGCGAGCGTGTTGTCCGCAAACTATTCAGATTCGATCCTTGTATTCTATTGAGTATTCAATCTCATTAGTATGGCATCACCGTACATCAGATGTGTAAAAACAATGAAGGTAATTTTCCTTATATAAAACTTTACTGCGCACAAGCTGAAACAGGATCTATCGCCGTGGAGTATAGTATGTAGTACGATCATATTGCTTGTTATCTCAAGTAAAATAATACTAATAAGGATTATTATAGTCTGATTTTTAATTCGGTGGAATTCTGAAATTTCAGAAATGTTGTCCGCTTTGAAACATTGTCACTAAAAACGGAAAGCATTTTAGCAAAATAAAAAAATAAACCTTTCTTGAATTTAAGGTTTCAATTAGAAAAACTAAGACTTAAAAAATATTGATAACTCTAAAATGGTAATTATTTTCTTATTATCATATTATCGAAGTTAGAATAATTATTAAGGAAATTATTTTTCTATTACAGGAATCCCTGTCCAATAATACATAGGTTGCAAGCCTTTTTTTAGGAAAACCCCTTTGTTTGTAAAATCTTTGCAATTGGCAAAAAGAATTGGAAAGTCCTTTGGGACAGGTCTACAACGATCGTTCACGATTTTTTATTATTATTTTTGGCAAGAATGCATAAACCATATTATAAAAGAAAAGGATAAAATCTGCCCTCTTAATGATCTGATGGATAGTGTGTGTGATTCTTTTAAAATCCGAGTGGATGATGACGACAAGGATGATATAAGTAATAATAATTAGTAAATAGTTTCATTTCTTTTATTCTGTTTTTTTCATTTAACTATTAAAAAATGTACATTATAGTTAGCGTGCATTGAATGCACAAAACAAAGAATATTTACAATGTCATACATATAGTTTACTTGATCTAATTCTGTTTCTTATTTTTGGTTATTTTATATTAAAAAAATACAAAGCAGAAAAGGTATATATATTATGATATCTGTATTGTCAAAGAATGATAGCTGTCATATTTCCGTGGAATTAAAAATCAGACTATAATTTCTGATATCGATTGTATATTTTACAAGCATATCTCATTCATATGCTGTCGATTTGATAGTGAAAACAAGACTATTAACACGAATATTAAGTAATCCTTATTAGCCGACTTCCAAAAAGGAGAATTCTTAATTCGATTATTCGAAGATGCCTTTTTTCGTTTCGAAGGGTATACTTCCCAGATAGTCCCGTTTAAATTTTATCGAAGTCGGTACCGGCACCGTCTTCGAAAATATCTGATTAGGTATCTATTCTAAATGAAAGCCTCCGTTTAGTTATTTTTTACATTTTATTGCCTGGAGTTAGTAAACATTGTATTAATAGGTATTGTACAACCTTTGCATAAATATGTACATTGTTAATAAAATGTACTGTCTGTAAATATTGTTATTATATTTACGTTTTACGTATCTTTAAAGCTTCTGCAGACGGACAAAGCTTAGGCAAAGCAGTGCGTATCTAAAATCTTCGCTTTCGACCAAATAAAAAAAAATAAAATAAAATACTATATCTAAATAGGTATTTGTTAAAGATATACTCACAACTAACACTATTAAGGCTTTCATTTGACGACTGCACGGAGCTGGAAGAATCTCTTAGTCTGCAGCACCGGATGTAGTTGGCGTTAATATAGTCTGATTTATTTTTGTCATTAACATTGCGTAGTATAACACGAGTCTGGTCATCTAGAAAATAAAATAAAATAAATTACTCTTCATAAAAGTAAGGCGGGAATATCCAAGAGATTAAAACTCCTCCCCTATGCTAAGAGCAGACGCGTGAGTCAGAGTCCCGAGAACAAATAATAAGTGCATTCTCTAGGCTTAAAAAAATTATTAATTTAAATAGCGATTAAACCCATTTTCATCCCAGATTTTTTTTCAACTCGATGCACTTAGGGGTTAGGTCGACCATACTTGTCTTCCATCCATGCAATTTATATAAACTGTTCTACTTAGAACAGACGTTTTTATATTTTCCATTTAGAAACACTTTCTATCGAATCTAGGAATAAATCGAATCGGGAAACGTGCTTGTGTGGCTGGCACTGTACTTGCATCAAACAGTGTAAAATAGTTTCATAAATATTTATGACTTTAAAAATTATAAATACAACGACAATCTGAACACGCTTGTCATAACAACAATATAAAACTTCATAAATAATAAAATATAATAACATAACAACGTATTGGTCCATTATTTTCTAAAGTTCTGTATCTAATATTAGAAACTAAAATACTGCTAATGCGCCATCATCCTAATATTCAATGGTTAAAGTATTTAACAACTTACAAGGCAATATATTCCTGTATCTATTTTTATTTGCATTTTGCGTCTTTGTTCCTTCATAGTTTGTGTAAACGTGAATGTCTTCTATCATTTTTAGGATCTGGAACTCGTCATCGAAACCAGAATTTTCTGTCACTCGAACGTCGTCCATTTCCTTAAAAAAAATTACATCAGTCATCTATACTAATATTAAAATGAGGCAGAGTTTGTTTTAACGCGCTAATCTCAGGAACTACTAATCCGATTTGAAAAGTTCTTTTTGTGTATATAGTATATACATTTGTGCATATACATTTAATTCCTGTATCTCGGAATAAATATACTTATACAAGAATTGCTCGTTTAATATATGAAATTATATTAATTATTAATATTTTTATGTTATCCATACGTTGATATATTCTAAATACCTGTACTTTTTGTTGTATATCTTTGGCCCTTAAACATGTCCCACTCACTGGTTGCAAAAGTCTTAGAACATCACCAGACGTCTCGATCATAGGATACGAACGAAAGTGCTCGATCAAACCCACTAAATCATCAAATTGTTCGCCACTGCCGACGTCGTATTTGTTGTGCTGCAAAGAAATTTTAAGTTAAGATAGTATTATATAATTTCTGCTTAGTATTTTTGAAATGAAGTTAATTAATTAATTTAAGATTTGTGTTTAATAATTTATAAAGTTAAACAATGTGAAAATAACTGCGAAGGCTTCTCCTTTACAGAAAATATTGAAAATTGTGCCCACAAACTTTCCAAAACAATTCGCTAGAAATTTAAAACTACTATTTTCATTTTATTGCAGGACATTCAATAACATTCCGTCGATCTTAGATTTATTTGAATTTAAATTATACTGATTTTAAAATTTTATTGTTGTATAATATATAATAATATCTGTTGTAATAATAGGTATAATAAAAATAATTAAATTTTATAGGTGCAAAATCAGTCACATTATTTACAGGTGTAGTAATTATTTATATTTCATTGAAGTTGCTTCAGAGTATATAACCCATCTTCTCGTACTGAGGGGATTCAATAGTATCCGGCAATCAAGCCGGACGTGAAGCCAAGAAACGCACTGAGAGGGGGCGCATAGTTGCTCCTGCTACTTTTCTGATCGCAGAGGACCATGAGAGCAACCTTATACTCTACCTTATCAAGCCAGTCGTCAGGGCGTCGTGGTCACATTAAGACGGGGATGGTTCCGTTGTGTTTTACTTTTTAGTAGGTAATAGTAAGGATCTTCTAGCCGCTAAGACTCGCATAAGTGAACTGATATTTTTGTCATGTGAAGCAGGGACAGACTGTTTCAGGTTCACATTATTTCTCAAGATTATTTATAAACGACATGTTAATACTTGTACTAACATCATCAGTATGGAGGTAATACGACGCCTAAGAATGTGTATGTATACATAGATTATACAGTTTCTGTAACTCTGTAACATAAATGTATTATATATAATGTATGTATATAAAACATAACATACAAAATTTTTTTTTATTATGTTGATCTTACTTTATGTTTCCACTCTTAGGTATTCAATAAATTTGCACTAGATTCAAATCATATTATGTATATAAAAAATATTATTAAAAAATCTATTCGGAGTCTCCTTCTAATAGGTAAAATTCATTTAGCGCTAAAAAAGCCATATTGCTTAAAACAAAAATATATAATATACCTCCATTATTTTTCATGTTAGGATATGTTTGTAAGGACATAAGGAAATAGTAATATTTATTATTAGAAATATAGTTAAAAAAAAAGTCGACATGTGACTAAGTGCACGTTGAGAGTACACATTATGTATGTCGCAATTTATCTCGCCACAAGCATGTGAGTCCACATAGGCATTCAATAATGATTATTAATTATATTATAGTAAACATAATTTATTATACCTATAGAGTAATTTCAGGTATTTATGTACTAAAACTTACAATGTGACATATGAATTTTAAAATTCGATCTCTAAATGCTCTATTTATATGTTATGTACACACCGTAGTGTGTGTCCAGCCAAGTTTAGACCAAAGGTACTGGTGACGCAGCACCGTGTGTATATTAACACGAAGCATTTGGAGCAACTTTTCACCTCGTAATAACTCAAAATCTATGTAATATAAGCTAATGAAATTTGGTTCATTTATTAACTCCTCTTAGATTAACTAGGACCCCCAATTTCATAAATACAGATCAAACGGTTAATGAGATCTTAACGTCTAAGAAAATGCATTTTTGTCACTGACTGACATATTGTAGTAAAACCTAACCCACTTCCATATGACATAGAAAGTTGAGATTTGGTGCCCAGGTGGGTAATCCTGTACATACAAAGGGAAAAATCCGAAAACAGTAAATTTTTAAAATTTGAAAAAAAATTATAATTAATTTTTATTAACTCCAAAACATAATAGCAATAGCTTAGCACCTAGCGCTTTTTGAAATATAATAGCAATAGCAATCATAGAAATAGCAAAAACTTTTTCTTTCTCGGGAGAAAAGGTTTCATGATGATGAAATAACATTTTCCTATTCCACCTTATCCACTAATGAATAGTCACAAAATTATGGAAAAAGAAATTGAATTTACATGCCACTTTGGAATTATGAATAATAATAGTTCTTTTACAAAAAGCCATGATATCCCAATAAAATCATAAATGTAAAAATGGGAGCTAAGTCCAATATTAAGAATATGCGTGGTTGTCAACTTCACCGACAAAAAAATTGAGATCTAAATGGTTGCCAAGTTTTGTAGAACAGCCTGAATTTTTTTCATAAGAACATACAATATTTTTAAATAAATTCAAAACACAATTTCTTGTTTTTTCTGCTACAAGTGTTTGCTATTTAAAAACAGAACTTCTTACCTATTCAGGCGTAATAGGTATTTATGTAGATATACTATTCATACTCGTATGTTTGTCCTGATTTGATGAAAATGAACCGAGACATTGGGTGCATGCATGATATGAGATATATGATATTGCCTACTAACAAAAATCTGTACTACATAATACATATATAAAGATGAAGAAGTTTGAACTCGTTAAACTTTGGATCTACTTGACCGATTAGAAAAATTCTTTTTGGGTTTTATAGCTTATTTACTAGAAAACGTTAAATGCTGACATCACAGTAAATTCACGAGAGTGGATTAGTCTACAAAATTACAAAAAAACACGCAGGTGGAGTCGCCAATAACTAAATCTATATTATAGTACATATGTATATATACATATATATAATAAAAGTGTAACTGATCGCTGTCTGTACATGGAAGATATCTGAGAAAATTTTTAATACGGTGTGCTTCATTAACCCAATAGAACCCTAAACAACGATTTTAAGAATTTTTGTGCGTTTGTGCGCGCTAATCTCAGAAATGGCTTAACCAATTAGGGTGCGTTTTTCACTAATATATTGTGGTAAACTTCAGTTAACATTTAGTATTTATTTTATTTCAATCGATTCATAAATAAAAAAATGTCAGTTTAAAGGATCACCTAGGGATGAACCCAAGCAAATCAAGGTTGAATCGCTGGTAATATCTAAATAATAGCGGAATGTAAAGATAATTTCAATCTTTAGTAGTGGTAGTTGGTAGTCTCTATCAAAATAGTGTGAATGATTTATGTCATATTTATCAGTTTGTTATATAAATTGATGTCATCACATAATAATATACATGTACTAACAGCAATAGTGCAGTGCAAGTAAATCACTTGTGATAATAATACTTTGTAAATTTATTTTAAAATACTAATTAGTTATTTGGCATGAATAAAAAAAATGAAAAAATGGTGGAATTATTCTCAAACTGAAAAAACGAGTTCCAATATTATTTTTGTATGTAAAAAAATAATTAAATGAAATGTTTTAACTTGATTCTGAAAAAAAATTTGAAACATTACAGATGCAGGCAAATTTATCTCTTAATAGAACTCTACATGGGTCATCTGTGAATAATATCATTATTCATTTTGAAAAGAAAATCTTTATTTTACACTCATATAAAAGAATAATATAAAAGAGCTGTCATAGAACTAAGCATGAATCCAAACAAAAATGTTTTAAAATTTAATAATAGAAAACCACGTTTCTATTTTTGACTTTGGCCTTTTTAGCAGACTTTTTTCTTACTATGAAATTCTTTGATCTGAAGTTTTACAGTGTATTTAGCAAATATTTTAAGAAAACCGCATAAAACGTCTATTGCTAAGAATGCCCATTGTTATATACAGAATAATTCCCGTACTATAGGTTTTTTAGGCACGTCATTCATTGCATGCGGGCTAATTGATTATAGGCGCAATTACTTTAACCGGATCACGCATCATTCGTTGAAGGTAGTAACCGTTTTATTGCCAACATTATCAATGGTGAGTATAATTTGATATGAAAAATAATACTATACTGTTAAAACGATAGTGTTTCTTTAAAAATTACTTACGAAGCAAATATCATCGTTTTAAACTAAACAAGCAAATACTGATCCAGCCTCACTTCGCTCAGGAGTGTACCAAGATAGATAGCCCATTAGTTTCAGCCAACTTAGTGTCCTAATGCACCGTGATACAAATCAAAAAACAAAACTCTATCTGTAAATCGAGCAAAAAAAGGCACAACCCATTTTTGGTGTAAATTTGTGAGTAGGCACTGTCTGTAACAAGTATTTAATGACCTTAGAGACGTCTAAAACCTTAAGTCTCCCATGACCTTGATTGCTGTAAACAAAAGTGTTAAGAAAGTCTGGAACCAAAAATCAAAATGAATCCATGAAAAAATCGCAAAATTTTTTTTTATTTAAAATGTCAAATAATTGCGTAAATCTAAGAAAGTATTAATCAAAATAATCCTACTAGCAGAACCCGCGGCTTCACTCGCGCTAAAACTACAACAAAAATCTCTAAAAAAGTAGTTTCGTACAAACTTTCTTCCCCTGTTTTACTCGCTTATAGGATAAATTGCGAATAATGCTAAGACATGTATTTATTTAATTCCATTGAAGAGCATTAATACCAAGTTTCAAGTAATTCTGATCATAAATATTTTTCAACCGACTTCAAAATGGAGGAGGTTCTCAATTCACCTGTATTTTTTTATTTTTTTTATGTTTGTTACCTCAGAACTCCGTCATTTATTGACCGATTTGGACAATTTTTGTTTTGTTTGAAAGGGTATACTTCCAGATTGGTCCCATTTAAATTTCAAAAAAAAAATACCACCCCTAAGGGTGGAAAAACAACTAATGATGTATTTAACCTACTTCTAATTGTCATATTGACTTGAAACTTTGCAAGTATTTCTATTTCCGTTGATAGTACAGTGGTTCGGTGTTGTTGACCTGATCTGATGGCAAGGCCAGAAGGTGGATAGGTGGAACTCTTCAACGGCTAATAGTAGATACTTTGAGTTTGGGCTTATTTTGTTTGATTTGACAAGCCTAACACGTTAGAATCCTTACTTTGCTACTACTGTCTACACTAAAAAGGGAAAAATAAAAACTTTTTAACAAAAAAATAAAAACCGACTTCAAACAAAAGCACTAAAAAGTAAAAAAT